GACCTATATGAATGGCTCATGTATACTAATTGTACAAGGCTCATGCGGATGGCTCATATATATTATATTGGCTTTCTTTTCTCTCACTACCTCAAGATACACCATGGAAGCCAAAGTAACAAGATGATATTCTATGCCTTGCAACACAACTCGCTATTTTCAACCAGGTCTCACCCTTGTACTAATCACTTATTTTATGTGAGAAATGCTAAGGTCATGTGCCATTCGCATTATCTCTAATCGCAAGTTTTTCAAGGTGCAAGTAAGGTCATTTGTACGCTACAAAGATGTTATTATGAACTCATAACATGACCTATTAATTATATTCAAAGGCACAAAAGCACGAACGAAATTAAGTGGCAAGTCACCGTAACGCGGCACCACTAACATTAACCTCAAGCAGCAATCCACCATGGCACAACATCATAACCAACATTGGTCTATGGATATGTAAGTGGTGAGCCAGCACAACACCATGATATCCCCGCAAATTGGTTACAACTTGGCATATGAAACTTTAAGTGGCAAGCTATAGCGGCACCACCCTATCTCCATATAGCAAAAAACATTCCCCGCCACTATCCTAGGTAGGTGGGGCCAACCAATCTCCAAGTTGCAAGCAACACCAACACCAACACCAACACCACAATATCTTCATATAACAATAAGCATTCCTTGTCATTTTATAGGATAGGGGAGGTTGATTTGTTCTGCAAGTGGTGAGCTATCTTGACACCACAACTTCTCCGTGGACTAGTATCTCTAAGTGGTAATCTATCACTATGCCATGACATCTTTAACATTATTTTTTTGGGGTTTTGAACCTAGCCTAATCGGGTGTATATCAACTACTAGATATAGTAGTGTGGTCCACTAACTCGAATGACGCCTTAGTTGAGAGCTATGGCCTTGGTGGACAAGCCATAGTATTGGGCATCGCAAGGCGTGGCCTACAACACTACTCGACTAGCCTGAGAATTTAAGAAGCACGGACACAGATGTGGATGCCAACACAGACACGGATGCAAATATGGGACACAGCAATTTCAAAAAAATGGGGATACGGACACGGCGAGGACATGGCAATAAAATATGTTTTTACATATTTTTATTTGCTATCTAGATTAATAGTCCATCCACAAACAATCAATATTAACAAAAATTAACTTTAATTCTATATTTTAAAAAAAACATAAAAAATACTTTTAAATTTACACTTACAATTTATATCTTTTTTATGGATGATCTATTAAGTATTTAAATCTAAGAAAAAAATAATAAACATTCAACATTCATCAAAAGTACTAGATAAAATAGAGGAAAAGGCAACTTGGCATGTCCTTGGTGTCCCTGAAATGTCCTCAGCGTGTCCCCTGAAAATAAATTAATTAAACAAAAGGACACACCATGTGGTGTGTCTCATACATGTTCCAGAAATGTCCGTGTGTTCAACACGGATACGGCACTTGTTTTGAAGTGTCGGTGCTTCATAGTTGAGAATTCTCTGATCAACCAGCCTTGCTTGGTAATGACATGACCTGGTACACCTCCTTGGCTTAACCAAGTAATTCTCCATCAAGCCATGATCCCTCAATGTTTCGTTCCTCTTTCTGACATAGGCCACTAACACACATCTCCAAGGAGTAACAGATTTCCTCTAGGGTAAAGCCATATTTTCTTGCTCTCTTTTGTAACTAAGGGTGGAACCATGCTTATACTCCCCTTGAGGTTGAGCAATATTTTCTCGATCCCTTCCGTAGTTGAGGGTAGACTTGTGCTCTACTCCAGGGTTGAGCCATCTTTTCTTACTGCCCTTCATAGCTGCGGGTGAAGCCATGCTTATTCACCCCTCTATGATAGAGCAATCTTTTCTCACTCTTTTTCATAGCTATGGGTGGAGTCATACTTATGCCCTTCTCTAGGGTCGAGCCATATTTTATTGCTCCATTTGCATGCTCCCCTCCGTGGTGAGGGTTGAGCCATATTCATGCTACCGTCCGTGTTTTGGGATGAACCATACTAATGTTCTCTAGGGACTTGCCTACATATGCTTCCTTCCACAGTGAAGGTTGGGACTTGCCCACATATACCCTTACGAAGTGAAGCCTCCTTCACTTGCCTCAATAATAGAGGGCTCAGCTTCCATCTCACATGCTTTGCTTTGCATTTCTCTCAACGATAAACATGGGAGCTAGAATCACCCACATAAACATAGATTCACTATCATTTTGATGAGTGATATGGCTATTATAATGCATATTTTATACATTTAACTTATATTGCGTTAAACCTATTTTATATTTTATTTTGTCTTATTTTGTTTATTTTTATATTTTGTAGGTATTTTAGAAGCTTATGGAAATATGATGAAAAATGGAAGAAATTGGAACAAAAGACCATTTGAAAGAATCCGCATAAAAAGAGATTAAATAATTAAATGGGATCACTTAAATCACATCTAAGTGTCAAGCTCAAGTGCACCAATGCCGTGAAGAACCGAATCGCAACCCAAGCTAGAAACTCTTCCAACAACCAACTTCATCACTCCTAGCAGGAGATATGTTTGACTTGAAAATTAAGTTGTAAAGTGATTGAAAGAAACTTCTCTAATTTATATTTATCTTTAGACTTATAATCATTTTAGAATCCTAGAACTTCTTTATTTATTTTCTTATAAATAGAGATACAAACATCTGTAGTGTGGAGGTTAGATTATTAGGTTATTATTTTATTTTTAGTTTTTTTTCTCTTTATATTTTGTGAGAGTGTTCCAATTATTGAAGAAGAAAAAGAAGAGTTTGTATCTTGATTATTTAATGCAATGAATTCCAGAAAGTATTTTTCAATTATTGTTTTTAATGTTATTATGAAGATGTTAGGCTAGATTTATTGCTAGGGTAAATATTTTTCAATTACTGTTTTTAACTTTATTATGAAGATGTTAGGCTAGATTTATTGCTAGGGTAAGGATGAAAACACATAATGATTATTTATAACAATTCATGTAAATTAATTTCTCCATAAAAATATATGCTTTAATTTAATAAAAGTTTAAATTGTTCATTTGTTTACTTTTAACTAAAAATAATTAAAATTGGATTTTCATTGTATTTTATTGGATTCAATTTATGATTTGTTAAAAACGAATATAAATTGTGTTTTGATGGATTCAATGAATGCTTTCATTTTGTTTGGCGAAAGAAAAATATATTTTATGAAAATAAATAAAAAGAGCTTTCATGATTATATCATTAGTTGCACAAAGCGGAAGCGGGAACGGGAGCGGGAACGTAGGATCGTAACCACTCAGAATAGTCGTAGTTTGGGAGTGTTTATATATTATTTTTATTGAAAATATTTTTAATTTATCTATAAAAACTTTTTTTCTTATTTTTAATTGATACATATATATATATATGTGTGTGTGTGTGTGTGTGTGTGTGTGTGTGTGTTATAAATGAGTTTAAAATTTTTCATTTTTATGTAATATTTAATTAATAAAATACAACATAAAAAATATTTTCTTTAAATAAATACCAAATAAAATTCATTATAAGTATAAAAATAAAAATAAAATAAATTAATAAATTCAAACATTATAATAATATTTTAATAATATTTATTGAATCTTCAAAACACAAGGACCAATAAAAATAATGTAGTGACATTCTTGAATCTATAAAACACAGACCAATAAAAATAGGGAAGTGATATTTTTTAAAACACAAAGTTATTATCTTTAAATAAGATATAATAAATGACCTCAAAATAAATAAAAAGAAAGAGAAAATGAGAGAGAGAGAGAGAGAGAGAGAAGAGAGAAGCAGAAAGAAGACTGATGATCAGAGAAGAAGAAAGAAAACGAGAGAGAAAGAGAGAGAAAACGATAGACAACAATCCAGATTTTTCTTCGATTCTTCCTCAGAGATAGAAAGCAACCTAGATTCGCGTTTCTCCATCCTCAGACTCGCAATTCTTCTATGATTCTTCCTCAGAAGCGCAGAATCACGCTTCTCCTCCAATTTGTGGGCATCTGAGACGATTCCTGCTACTAAGATTATATCATCTGCAATAAAAGAGTTCGACCACCAATTTATTGTGAAGGAAAATTGAAGAATTAGTTAATATGAATATGATGTATGTGATGGATTCCACTGCCCCAGTATTTAATACATTTGATTAAATTCTTTTTAATATTTGCATTTTTATTAGAATTCAAGAATTTGTTCAACTAGATTAGGTAATTTACTTCAAGATTAATTGACTTGTTCTTGCCTTACTGATACTCTAATAGATTTGTGCACTCGCGAGTAATTAAAATTAGTACATCAAAGAGCGCAACTAGTAATCGCAAGAAGACGGGACATGCACAAGCATTCTCATTAGATTTAAGACTACTCACATGGGGAGCTATTATCTAATACCATAGAGGGATATATTGATTCTCATAGCGATGCTCTATTCCCTCCACCCCCACGCCATAGTAGGGGCTCTACAATTTGTAATCGAGACTTAGATAGACCCCTTGCCTTTTCACTTAATAAAACATGTGGCTCAGTATATATACAATATATTCATAACAAGCTTTGGCTATCAACAATAGAAATGGGAGCTATAGTTGCCCTCAAACTAAGAGACCTCAACATCATTTTCAATTTAGGCACACCAAGTAGTTCTCCCACTCAAGAGGTATGAGGTATGCAAGTGCACTCTCATTTCGCCCATGAGAGTACTCGGGCAGGGGGCTACATGAGGTTACTTGTTGTGACCCAAGTGGCCAACGCATTTGCTTCACTATCACCGTGCTTGCACTTTGCTCAGTGTCCTTACTTCAGCACCCACTCAGTGCTCGCTCCATTTGATTCACAACCAAAAACAAGAATACTAGAAATCCTCAGAGATTAAACAATTATTTAAAATAAGAATGCAATTGCAAATTCCAATTGGCATAAAATGCGAAAGAGATTTGTGGAGAGATAGTAAACTACAACTTGACATACTATTACATCAGGTACACCAATGATATCCATATTCCATTGGTAGTGCTCACGACGCCGCCCCCTAGTCATTCTCTCATATCGCCAGCACTGTCCAACAGCAAACCATTTTAATGGGAGGGATACAGATTTTCTGGACAGGAACAAAAATGGAGATCAATTCTGGCATCTATACAAGGATAAAAAGTGAAAAATAACAACAAATAAATTGATAGCATATTACTTGCCCCCAAAAAAATTAATAAATAGCATATCAATAAGTTTTGTAGTTTAACTTCTAGATTAGCCAAGACCAAAAAATAAATATTATTTTTTTTTACAAGTAATTTACCAAATAATTTTGAAAAAATAATAAATATTCAAAAGAAAGACTATACATTGTTCCCAAAAAATGGAAAAAGAAAAAAAAGGCCACAAAATTCACAATATTAGAGTTTTACCCTTTCTGTATCACAAGCCTTGCCAGAGAAGGAGTAAGTTCAGGCCTCAATGCAACTCGACGATTTCCTCGATCCTCAAAACAGTAAAGCTGCACAAAAAATGAGGAAAAAAAATCCTATCGTATCACAAAAACGTTTTCCAAAACTAAATCCATTTCAATACACTTATTTTCCAAACTATCTTCATAGCAATTTCCTTCTTTTTTGGGTACTATTTTTTATACAGGGAGTTGCCTTAGTTCAATGAAGTAATAGCATTTAGAATTTCAATTAATGGTATTTAGAAAAGGAAGTTGGTGGTTAAAAAGTCAGATCAAGGAAAAAATCAAAGAATAAATCCTTAAGAAGGTCTATGTTTGATTTAGACCAGATATGAAGAAAAGCCCAGCAGTTCAGAATTAAATGGGAACCCAGGTTTGGTCAAGGCCAAGTCTATTGAGGGGCCTGATAGCTGGAATCAAGTTAGGTTGCTTGGATCAGCTGTGGGTTGGAATCAAGTTAGGTTACTTGGCCTTACCTCGTATGTAAATTGGGAAAACCAATAGATTTAAGTTTATGGTGCAGAAACTGACATGACAAAATAAGGGTTAAAACTAGACTTAATGACTATGAAATCACACGAAACCACACTACAAGAATTAACACTTTTGGCAACAAAAAAATTGGTCGCTAAAAGTCAATTTTTGGTCTGCAAAAGTTATCCGCGACCAATTTTTTTGGTCGCTACTTTGGTCGCCAATTGAGGGTCGGCAAAAGTAATTCGCGACCAAAATTGTGGTTGGTCGGCAAAAGTTGGATTTCGCGACTAAATTTTTGGTCGCTAAATATTTAATTACCGCGACTAATTTATTTTGTCGCCAAAAAACTTTGGTCGCGAAAAGTGATATTTTTCCGACCAAAAAGTTTGGTCGCCAATAGTG